ATAGCTAGTATATTAGTGGTATTTGCCGCAACTGAATTTATCTGCCACATATTATGCAAATATATTTTTAATATATTAATTACGCATAGAAACACCGAGATTCTTTGCAGGCTCAAGATTGTGGACTGTGTCCTGGCGACGACAAGGTTTTTTTGAAATAGGTGTATTATACACTTTTACCTTTTTACCCGGCGTCCCTTGCTTACCTGCATTTGTAGCGTTAACAATAATCAGAAGACATGCACCAAGAAAGAGATCATAGGAAGTTCGCAAGTCCATCGTCATGTATATTTTCTAAACCAAACAAAAGAACAATCAGCAACTGTGACTGACGATAATTAAATCACCTCAATAAATGATCGAAATTCTCATTCATTGCTGTTTTCACCCTAATGTCTCATGAAGTGTTAAACAGTTTGGACCTTCGTCATTCTTCCTGTTCAACTTCAAATTCTGTTTAGAAGCAATTGAAGCCATTTTTAGATATCCAGACTGTGATTTTGATGTAGATTTTTATTTACTTATTTAATGGCTTTTTTCTGTCCAGTGAGGGTTGTTGTCTTCTGCTATAAACAGCACTACTGCTTGACAAGTTTTTTTTCTCCAGATTTTCCCCTTTATTTCAAAGACTATATCTGTTTTCCAATATTAGCTTCCTCGTCGGCTAAGTATCGAGGCGAAAGGTTATCCTGCTTCCCTTTATTTGGAGAAAAATAAACCGTGGCTTTCCCGGATGTGCAAACGCGCCGTAGTTAACGAAAATGGCAGGAAAATAGGTATGGAAAAATGGGTATGTTTTTTTGCCTTTTTCCAAACTAAATTCAGGAGTGATATATTCTGATTAATTTTATAATTATTACAGAATATGTTTGAGGAGAGTCGCGCTTCCTGTCATGTTTTTTCATAAAATAGGCAGACATGAAGCTACAATGATGCATGACGCATAATGGGCGCTAATTATACCGGAACTTCCTGTTTAAGACCTGGGGGAACACCAGCGTTTCCTGGTAATCACAAGTTGTGACGTCACTTATCATGTGACTGCTTTATGATGAAACCCGATTAAAGGGACACTGTCAATGGCACGCATGCGCGAGTAAACTTGAAAACACTAGGCTAGTGTTTTCAAGTTTATGACTCCAAGTTGGCGAGACAGAAATCATCTCGTAAACGTAAATAGATCTAGAATATTCCAAAGTGTGTCAAAAGCACCACAAAATGATTTACCTCGAAGGTAATACTTTCAAAGTCCATTAGAGGTGAGACTGTTACTGCGCATGTCATCTATTGACAGTGTCCCTTTAAACGCTCTAGAAATTCTAGCCCTGATATCATTAATTGTACTTATGCCGCTATTTATTGTCATACCTAGATTATCAATAGTACATGTATTTATTTCTTATATAACTCTACTATAACACCCCTCATCTCGCTGCTCTAGATGCCGCTCGAAACTCTTGTTTTTTTTAAAAAGAAAAAAGAAAATGCTAAAGCAGGTATTCTATTAGATAATAGAGCTTGGACACAACCAACACCTACTGACGACCTTGCGACCAACATTAGACTTGTCGGTTCTTAATGAATTATTCATGATGTTTACAGGTTGAAGTGGATTTTTTATGGTTGTTATATACGACGATTTATCTTGATTCAAATCAAAATAGAAGAACGAAATGAACTGGACATTTTCAGCGACATATTACTAAACAACTTATAGGCATGTCTATAGTTCGAATATTTCTTTGTTTGGTCTGTGCGGTCGTTATATTAGCACCGATTGTGTCTACTGGTAAGTGAGTTGTCGATGACACGTTTTTGTCAATATACTTTATCATACAAGACCCGATATTTTCATATTTATGAACACGTTTTGGGTATTATCAAAACTGTTTTTCCAAATAYAATACGCTTGTTGTAAAACAAGTGATTTTTATACGGTGTGCGGGTGTTGTAAATGTTCTTCGAGAGTCCTCATCAAGTGCTATGATGAATCTTGGGCAGGTAWTCAATTTGACTACTGATTCCAAAGTTGTTTCTAATGAGCTTAACTAAAACAATGRTAAATGTTCTTTTAGGTGTTTTGTTTTGATTAAACATGGGCACTGTTTCAAATGTTAAAAAAACATTACATAGCGAACAATATGGTGTCAACAAGCATCTCACAAATGGGCCACCACTCACCAGTCAACAAGTGGCCCCTCAATTATGTCATTCCACCTTCGAACTCTTTTCTCTACTTAGCTTGTCGCAGCTGGCCTAAAAATACAAACAATCTCAATTTGTTAAACTATTAAAAATGAATCGATAAAAATTTCAACAAGTTACTTTTGTCTATAAACTTACTGCACTTCATAAATACCATAATAAAACGAGGTTTAACTAACAGGTTTAAAGTTCAAACAGAGTCTTATATCGGAMCTGGCCTTGAAAAACTGTGATGTATACTTCAGAGCTAGATACAAATGKCACTGACCGACTTWSTGGTTTGTAAKTTCCTGAAAAATGTAGAGGCACTKGAGCAAGGAGAACGGAGAAACACCTGCCAGTCAGTCACTTTGGCAAATGATATGCGATCTTCTAGATTTAGTGCCATAATATCATGATGACACTATTTTACCGTTCAATTAGTACTTCAGTACGTATAATCCTTGGGTAACTGTGTTATATTTAATCCTAAATGTGTCTAAAATCTTCTATTCTTCCTTCAGAAGAGCACGATGCCAGACAGTCAGACGCAAAAGGCTCCTACTTGGTTGAAATTCTGAGGATGTACTTTCCTCACAGATATAAACGCTTGATCAATCCATTACATTAYCGGTTCTATGGCGGTGAAAAGCGCATGAATACTGCTGGTAAACATGAAATGAAGGAAGTGAAACTGTTCGAGAAAAAAGAAAAATTCCTGTTGCCAAGGAAGAAAAAAGAAAAGATCAAAMGACCAACGARCCATAAMCYCYCAAAACATTTTCTACTTGGAAAAAAGCACGAGAAGAAAGACTTGGATAAATTGCATGACAGWAGTTTAGGGARTYTGAAAMTGGTTMCAAGWAATGATAGAGAACTACGCGCTGTCAGGAAAGACAGTTTAGTGAATTTACTACAAGGCGTTCAAAAAGATAAGAACGACACGTCCAAGAGTTCTAACCAATCCCTGGTTGTACAACTAAATAATAACACAAAACCTACAACGGCAGCACCAACAACAAGCAAACAAAAAGACGAACCACAAGTGCCAGAAAAGCTTGTCGACTATAAAGCGGCGGAGAGCGGTAACATCACTGCAGTGCTGAGCAAAGGCCTGAGGAAAATTGTTTCGCAGCTGCGCAAGGTATTAAAGAAAGACTCAAAATATCTAAAAACCAAGAAGAAAGTAAAAACTCCAAAGCATAAAACYAAGAAACACAAACATATAAATTTCCAGAAATTGTTCAACGATATGTTGAAGAGCAAGGAAGAAGCTTTATCGAATAATAATGGGATTAACAGTTTCGAYTCCAATATAGCAGAACTAAAAGGCGCGAATGAGTTCAATGACATGAACCAAATAAATCCAAGTGAGATAACGGGCGGGATAAGCGTTGTTCCTAGTGAAGAAAACTCCAATGAAATGAATGGAATGGATGTCATCAAGATTGAAAATCCAAATGCTTTAACAAACAAAAATAGAATGAGCAGCGAAGTTGTTGCCTTCAATGGAAGTCCASCGAGATTAAAYGAGCAGGCTACAAGAATAAATGGCGGAAATGCAAGAATTAATGATATYACCGAAACAAATGGAATAATTGCAATGGAACGAGTTCCTTCAATGGAACGAGTTTCTGAAATTGAAGGAGTTCCTTCAATGAACAGAGTTCCTTCAATGGAACGAGCTCCTTCAATGGAACGAGTTCCTGCAATTGAACGAGTTCCTTCAATGAACAGAGTTCCTGCAATTGAACGAGTTCCTGCAATGGAAGAAGTTCCTGCAATGGACAGAGTACCTTCAGTGGACAGAGTTTCTGCAATGAGCAATCGTATTGAAGTGACACGTCCTGATGAAATGKCACGAATACAGGGTGTCGCAGAAATGAGCCGTGGAATGGTGGGAGAGAATGCAGTGTCAGAGACGGCTGGTATTCCAGAAGCTGGAATGAATGTCATGAGTCAAGTGATGCCAAAGCAAAATCCTCTGAATAGACAAATGGTAGCAAATCTACAAACAGTCCCTATGTTCAAGTCCTCAATGAACAATATCTCTCCATATACAGCAGGTATGCAGCAAGCTCCCGTCCTACAGCGTGTTRTTTATCCACAAAGTCAACTCGTTCCAATAAACAATTTAGGCTTGAATCAGCAACAGTTCTTGCCGGAAAGAATCCCWCCTGTCGGCTTTCGGCATCTGGTTTATGGTTATGGCGTCGGTGCAGCTCCGATRTWTTCACAGTTTGCTCATCAAGCCGCTCCTAGCATGCGTCATTATTATGCTGGGCTTTATGAAGCGGATCATGACGAGGCAGATAGAGATGATGATGATGACGATGACGAYGATGTACAGGRGGGTAGTTATCGACGAAAYAAAATCAAGAATCATCCACCCAAGCTGGACAAAAAAGCAACACCTCAAAARACTAAACACAAARCGAAACATCAAAGTCATAATTAATTACAGACAGAATCTCTTGAAAAAGTTTTAAGAAGTTTGTCGGAAGATTTTGGTTGAATTAGAAGAACGGCTTTATCGATCATAGAATTATGTCTTTTGYCAAAGCCTTTTTAGCACTGCTTGTCAATATTATGGCCAAAGTCTTCCATTACATGATCTAAAGAATCAAACAATCCGATACTAAAAGTTTTCTAGTTGTTGTCACGTAGGGAAACTCCCTCGGAATCACAWCATATGAAGTTCACCTTCATCTTGCTTCATGGGACTTCGTTTTCAACTCAATGTCGCTTTTAGTAAAGTGAGAGGGTCTTAAACGTGTTTTTAAAAGCCATGTTTTGGCTTTCGAGGACTACTACTTCACGCACATCCTTGAGAATCGCCATTATGTTTGTTTAAGTTTTTAACTTTAAACAATATCACATCATGATTGTATTTAAAAACTGAATGCTGTTGTAATACTTAATCGAAAGTATTATAGTTCCCTATAGTAAATAAATCTGAACATGACTTTTACCACGTTGAAAAGGAATTTCCAATACAGGTTCTTAGAAAAAACCTACCTTGACGGCGGTACAATAAAAGTCGTATTACGTAGCTTTGCAATGAACTCATAATTACTGGTAAATGCTCTTCAGATTTAACAAAGGTGAATGCACATTAAACATCACCGGGYCCGTCAAAAACATCACCGCCGATAAGTTAAAAATGTCTCCATATTTCACACTACTGCTTCTTCTTTTAATTAACGAATCTTTAGCTAAAGGTGAGAGAATATTCTAATATAAATATTTTAGTTCATTAATTGGGTGGTGCTTGCTTATGAACAGTCTTTTGAAATAAGATTTTGTTCCTCWGTTGATTCAATGGGAATTCATRACCATGACCGCTATTAGATTTTAGTTTGCATTTTGTTGTTCGTTGTTGAATTTYTTGAATTTTCTATCTCTTCCAATCCTGCTATAGTTGACGCACTTAAATTCTGTGAAACAAGCTTAAGTAGTACTAATTACTACTAAATAGTGGTATCTAACAATAGAAAACAAAGAAATTAACACACTCGAGTACTATTTTGTACCACTTAAGTTTCATGGATCGGTAAGTATATACTGGATCTATTATCACTGAATAATAAATCCTTCTATATATTATTGGTTTGCTTGGTATGTGCTTCACTAATAAGCATAYGGTTGTAATGGTAAAATGAACTTCACCAAAGAGCTGAATTTTTTGTTACACATAGGCAAGACAAACTCTACTAAAACCAAAGTTGCSCATGKGTTGAAAAAATCMAARCCACAYCACAAATCCGCTCAACGTAAAGGTTCCATGGTATTTGAAGAAACCTCTAAAGAAAAAATCAAGTCGTCCCTCGACAAGTCGTTTGGACTTCTTAGTCCTTGGAATAAAAATACGGGGGATGTTTTCACGGGGTGCTTGGGTCAACAGGACGGGTTATCAGATCAACAAGCCGGCTTACTTAATCAACCAATCAACCCAATGATGCGGATTAATGGATATCCCATCAACCCGAAGGGCTCCAAATCCTTGAGTCAAACACTGGATGGAAATCTCGAAGAAGAAGAAGAYCTGAAGGAGGTCATGTCTCAGATAACTGGACGAAGGGCCGCCTTCAGAGGACACAAGTTTGGTGGGGGCTGGAGACCTTTGAGGCCGATAAATTATCCAATGCACCGTATGTCGCAAGGAATGGCGGGTAGAGGAATGCTGGGAAATATTAATGTGAATGACGGATATAGGAGAGAAAAAACAATCCATGTGCACGCAAAAAGAAAAAATGACATTTTCAAAAATCTTCATGGTTTGATWCTTAGGAAGATGTATGAAAAACGACTTGCAAAGCTACGTGCAAGAAGACTGCAACTTTTAAAACTACAGGCAAGGAGGCTTCGGATTCTTAAACTCATGAAGAACGTTCAACAAGCAGATAAAATGAAATTAATGAATTGTTAATATTTTAGCATGTTAATACTTGTGAATAGGGTTGTAAAGAAGTTTGTAAAGTCATCGTAGATTGTTATTCAGCTATATACAGCATAGAACTCGATCTGATCAATGTATAAAATTATCACTATCCATTCAGTATCTTCAAAACATCACTAAATCACTGTGATCGTAGCCATCAGCAAAATCGTGATCCAATCAGTTTCAACTGTCCCATCATGCGATCATCCACCAACCACAAACACATTCATGTTTCATCACCACCAAACAATTTCATCTTCATCATCTTCAATTGATCAATAACACTCATTCCTTTACCATCAGTAATAGCGCCAAGACCATCATTTTTTTTACACTAAAAGATAATGCATCTTTTTTATACGCATTTACAGTTTGCTTGGTGTTGTTCTACCATTCCAGTTTTGTGTTGAATGAGATAGATCGATAAATTGTAATTAGGGAGTGCGCAATATTTACCAGGAGGGGTGGGATGATGGGTTGGGGTTGAGAAATGAGACAAAAAATCAAAAAAGGTATTGATATTCCCCCTCGCAAACGAAATAGACAACGCTCTGCCTCCCTATGAATTTATTTATTTATCATTCGTGAAAAAACAGTTGTCGCAAATCGTGGCACGCTTTCCTTGAGAAGTTTTCCACTTCAATACGTATTTGGCCAAAAAGCACAGAATCTGACACCGTTGAGTTTTCAGCTTCCAATTAAAGTTCTAGTTAATTTTAAACGTTGCCCTACCTCTTTAAGCACATATAATAAGATTTTGCCCCGCCCCCCTGATAAAAATTGCGCACCAGTCAAAAATATTCCCCATTGCAAAACCTGGCTGTACGTATTCTATTTGATAAAAAGAAATTTGATCACTGATAACTCAAGCAATGAAACAACGACCACATTGCAACCATCACCAACCGTATCATCATTGCATCAGTATCATTCAGGACCTAGCGAGAAATTACCTCGGGGAGGGCGGTGAGATGATGACCACTAGGACATATTCTAGAACCGATTAAAAAAGGAGGCTTGAATATAGGACATAAAATGGTATAGGCATAGTTAAGATCAGCAAAGACACCAGGGAAATTGTGTAGGTCTATTAATTTTGCACTCTTTCTTTTCACAGTTGCAATCGGCCCTTACTCCACCTTGCTCTTTTAGCTTGACCAATTCCTGTTTGCTCCTCATTTAGATAGTGTTACAATACGGAGCAGTACCTTAGATTTTGGCAAATCTAATAGATGTATGAAGGAAAAACTATAAATATACGATTTTTTTAATCGTTTAACTATGCGTGCCCTCACCCCTTATTTCATTGTCCTCACAAAAGTCAATTCTTGCTACGATCTTGATTACTTTCCATAATAATCGCTACAACTCTAGATGCTTGCGTAGAATCGTAAAAATGTACTTTGTATGTTTTCCACTATGGAATACCATAAGCACTTAAAAAGATAACAGCCGTGACGACCATGACCTGTTTATAGATCACAGTACCACCGGTACCATGAATAATAAATGTGTTTCTTACAAGAAGACAGAAAAAAAGCAATACATTGTATCCAAACATTTCAAGATAAAAATACAATAACTTTTACTGGAAAGCTTTTGGGAAATGAATAGGTAAGTTGATAAAAGTCATAATTTCCAAACCTTTCGTTCGTGAGATAAAGATACTGCAGGAGAAATGAACCTTAAAGTTTTGAAGTGGTCACCAAAGTATCACTGGCACCTTATGAACAATTTTGTGGAAACTGAAATATTATCTTAGCATATTGCTTAAATAAAAAAAAGGTTTGCACAAAATTTCACTTGTTGCATCTCCAATTATAAAAATAATTACATAAAGAATTTGACTAATAAAACTCTCAACGACTAGAAGTGTTTTTCCTCGATAAGTCGACCCTCCATTTGTTTTCCATGCAATGTTTGTTCGATCAGCTTAGAGCTTGGATATAACGTGTTCCACAGTGCAATTATGTGGTTTATAACCGCACTTGATTTTTCTGAAGATAACATAATTTTAATTATATTAAAAAAACGTGGTCATTTTCAAATCGTTTTGATTTGGAAATCTCCATATTATTTGACGTCGTAAACCTTATTTAATTTGCACTTGTTGTCTTTTTTACAATCCGGAATTTTCCGGTAAAGTTCGATGTCATCTGGCATCCTGTAAGCACAGATACAGACGAATACAGATCTCAAACTTACCTTCATACTGTCAGACCTCTTGTACTTGGATGTCAACAAAGCAGTAGAGCTTACGTCTCATGTACCCTCCAGTAGTTACATTGCTAATCTTAAATTTTCATCCAGTGTCAATACTAACTCGCTTTATTGTTAAAGCCAAATCAAAAGTCTGGTCAGCATGTTGAAAACCCGAATGTGCTCTAGATAAAGTATTTCCTTTTATCGAGTAGTCTTTTTATATCTTACTTCTCCGAATTTGCTTTCTTACGCAGCTTGTTTATGCTGATGAGCAATTAATGGACTTGTGATCAGTGCAAACCATGCATTTCAAGTTACTAGTGACATCAATTCTTGTAGTGTGCGCAACGTCTCGGCATATAAAAGGTTTGTAATTGTTACAAGTGCCTTTTCTCCAGTCAACGATGTCATGTCTAAACTTTGAATTTCATTGTTCTTAGGTTCCCACAAATCAAGCCATAATGTCGTCAACCGCCAACAAATTGCAAACGCAGGCCAGATGGTACAAGTAAATGATCTTATTCGAGAACTTAATCGACAACAAGCTAACTCAAATAACGGTCCAGTAGAGTTATCACCAAACAATGCTGAAGCTGTTAATGGACCGACAGGTGCTGGAATRGGCTTACCATTCGGCACGTTGAACTCTAGAATTGACAAAAACCCTCTAATTGGAGCTAATGGACTGTCAAAGAGCGCGCTAAATRACATCATGTTTGGCAATTTCAAAGGACTAGCAGTCCCAGAGGGAAATAATATTGCTTCGTATGCCAGCGAACAACCTGAAAGTGTTCAGGGAGGAGAAATGAGACAAATGCTAGGGGGACAAGATAATAGCCTTCAATTACTAAATGGAAATAGAATGAACGGAAATGGAATGGGTAACAACATGATGTCCAACCTTGCGAMTTTAGCTGCTGCCAACAACTTGGCTGGAACTCAAGGCCTTAATGGCTTTAACGTAAATCCGAACAACGGTTTGTCAATGACTACAGGAACTATGAGTTCGTTAGGTTTGAATGGTGTCAGCCCAAACCTAATTGGACCAACTGGAATGAATTCTTTTCCTGGGGCGCCTTTACAGGTTCCTAATCCAGCACTTGGAATGCAGTTTATGTCTCAACTAAGCAATATGAATGCAGGAAACGATGGCGATGAGGAGGATTTCCATAGGATGCATCACCACAGGCGGCATCACAGGCACCACAAGCATCGAAAGTCGACCACAAAGTTATTGCTGCGTTTATTAGTTGATAAAATGAAAGACATCTACGAACTTGATAAAATGACCACAAAGCCCAAAAACAAGAAGACAAAGTCAGAATCCGCTGGAGGAAAGATAGGATTAACTCTTGACGATCTAGGAGTTCCTAAAGATGATGTTCATCGAGGAGACAAGACAAAAATTACAGATAAGTTTAAAACTAAATTCTCCTTTCCAGTCACAGTCTCAGATGAAACTGAACATCAACATTTGAAGTTAAAATCAGATGATGATAATGCKGGGAATTCAAGCGACGATGCAGACATTCAAAAGATACTATCAAAGCTTAATATTGGAAATGATGGRTCTGGATCCGGGGCGGAGCCTTCTAAAAAAAGTGAGGATCTGAAGATTAGCGAACTGACAGATTCAGTTTCCAAGGATATTGCAGCTGCAACAAGATTTGCAGAGTCTGCATCGAAAAGAACGATGTTAGAAATTAAAGGTCAAATATTCAAAGATGAAAAGGCAAACTCACGGGACTCTATCAGAAACTTGAAATATGGAACTGACTTCCATGGAGGGAAAACAGACAATGATATGCATACCAAACCAGGAGTAAAAAAGTCCAAAACATCAAACATCCTAGGGATKGAAGACTTTGAAGGCTATGATAATGCCAAAGTGATAGCACCAAAAATGTTTTCGATGTCGTCTATTCTCAACGGCGCAAAAAACCATGATGACATTGAAGACACGCCTACTATGCACTCAAAACTGGCAGATAGTCTGCTCGATTATATTCCCAACAAACGAAAGGCATTTCCTGAAGTGGACAATACCCCTATGGTCCCATCAGACATCAATCCAGAGGAAGATAGATTGAAGGGTCTCACTGAAACAATATACCATGATGTGACATCCAAGGTCGAAGACGGCGCCAATTATGTAAAAAGTGCTCGAGTGCTAGGATCAGTGTTTAAAAAAGTGAAAGATCCCGTAGCCAAGAAAAGCATYCAGACTGCAATCAAAGCCATGTTGGAGGTTATGAAGTACAAGGCTATAGATAAAAAAGAATCTTCTTCGAAGAAGTTTAGCTTTCCGGCTGATGCCAACGCAGTACTTTGGCAACAGATTTACAACTTGAACGGTGTGCTGCAAAAAATGAAAAAGCATCTACACCATAAAAGAAAAGAATAGGCATGCTCAGTGTTATGGGTCGGTTATGATAGCCCACTCATCACAGCGTATACGATATGTCACTAAATTGTGTTTTAAAAGATGCTACATCATGAGGGAGTTTGTGTTTTTTATTTGATGTCACATTGACCATGGTGATGCCTCATTGAAAAATGAAGATTTTCCATTAGTATCCATTTTTCAGAACACCAACATAAACTTCTGGTTTCCAAGGAATAATAGAAAATCACTACTTTTTGAATATTATATATCTCAGCGGAACGTAACTACATTATTCGGAGTATTAGAACTGAGTTGGTGCTATGATAATTGTACGCTGAATATCGAAGAAAACATTCATTTAGTACAGTTTCCTAAAGAAGCTTATTACTTAATCATTTTGGATTTCAAACTTCACTTTAAGTTAAAGAGTGAATAAACTTTAGTTTCCTTGAGCAAAACCTGTTAATGTGTCTCGACTTATAGACAAGGGCGGATCCAGGGAGGGGCAAAGGTGTACTGTAGCGTCTCCTCAAAAGAAAAAAAAGAAGAAAAAAAACGGTTACTGTTTTCTTTATTTTCAATGTTATTTATAACAAATAAAGCCATTTAGCACCCCCCCCCCCCCCCCCCTTCCTCCCCTTCAAATTTCATACATTTGTTTTAATTATGAAGCGTTTATGGAAAAAAAATTCTCAAAAGATGGCGGCGAACATTGCACACCCGCAGAGGTCCATTATCGTGAATAGTGTCCCCAGTAAATGGTAAATATAGAGAGGTGGACTCAATTAAATGAAGTTAATTTGGTATGATGACTACAACGACCTTATTTTCAAATGACTCATGTTTCAATTATACCCGTTAAGCTTTGCGGCTTAGGTTGCACACCTCCTGAGGKATTAATCATTCAAATTCTGCATCAATCAACTGTCATTCCCCAAAATAAATACCTGACAAATACCAGTCACCTTAGACTGACCCTTTGTCAAGAGCTAACTTGCTAGAACTGAACTATTGACCCATACTGACATCAACCTGTTTCCTATCTTTTTTTTAATTTCAATTTTTAGGAAAAGCTTTCAAAGTAAGGAAACTCTGTTGCTTGCAAACCGAGATACCTGGATATCACAATAAATAAGTCGCAAAGGAAATGATAACATTTTATATGGTTACAAACGCTGGTAAAAGAAAAGCTGGCAAATCAAGATGCATATCTAATTATGTTGATACTTACATAATTAATAGTTAACGATATTGTTTCAAGACCAAAACCAAAAGGGAGAATTGAGTTTAAAATGAAATATCGTTTTACTTCTTTATAAATTGATTCAATATATGCCTGTTCGTGGAGATTCGAAACCAATGTAGACAGAACACAGATTTCAAGGTAAGAAACATCATTGGTCGAAGAATATGGACACTAAAGCTTCTAATGTATACATAAACATATCAAAATTGCTCGTAACAATCTTTGGCAATTTGCCTTGTAAGGGTACAGCACCATTAGATAATTTCTGCCATTTCGAAAGAATTTATAGCTAAAAGAAAAAAGAGCAAGAATTGAAAAATGATGATCTGTTGCACTCCTTTCATAACAAGAATTTGTTCATTTGTTTTTTCTTAGTTCAAGCATCTTCTTCCAAATCTTCCCAATGAAGTCTTGTCTTGTAGCGTTCCTTGTTGTTCTTTTTTGCATAAATATTGAAGGTGAGCTCGTTTGTTTTAACAATTTTATCAATTACATTCGCCGGCGAGTTAATTGATAAATTGGTTGGAGTCTCACATAATGTATGTCGATCTTTGAATCGTAGGAACCAAACATGAACAACGAGGACATAAACACAACAACACCCAAAACAGCATCGCAAAGAAAACCGAATCAAAACTTGGAAGTACGGACAATATCAAGCGGCCGGGCATAGGACGATTTTCTTTGGATGTACAAAAGAAATCTGAACGTTCAAAACGGAAAAAAACTACCGAACATAAAATAAAGAAGTCCATGCATAAAACTAAGAGACTTTTGAGAGAATTCAAAAAATGCATGCGTATTTATGGTGTAAAACACTGCAAGAAAMGGAATAACTTCAAAAAGGCTATGATATGGCCCAAAAAGATGCTTCCGGCTTTGGAGAAGATGATTATGAAGAAATTAAACGGAAATACAGACAGCGGATATGATAACTATGATAATCCTATGAACGGCGCTGGTAAAAATGACTTTGCAGATAATTGGGATAATGTGAAACCATCTAATCCTCCTCCACCGCATCCAAATATGTTCAACGGCATGGAAGTGGTGCCTTTGTTGAAGATGCTCAAAGAAAAGGTTGGGGACTCACCTTCTTACGATTCTAATAGTTTCACGGCTTCGATGCCAAGCAATCAGGGGGGATCTAGATACTACACAAAGATGCTCCTAAACCAAGCACTAGGCAAACCTGACCGAGGCGCAGTCATGAAAGATATGATGCAAGAATTTTATCTCGCTAACAATAATGAAAGAAGCGGTCAGGAAGCTCGTGAAGCTTTTAGTGAACTCATGGGGCAYAATAACCTCATTAAAACCAACACCGACATGGTTGCGGGTAATTATAMTTTTAACGGCGGAATGACTCCCCAAGCTTCTGAGGATTCTCAAGTTGAAAGGATGAACATGCCGGAAAGGATGCAAAACTTTGCTTCTCAAGAAGGAGGTGGTGGTGAAGGTGCTGGGATTCAAAGTTTTCAAGGGTTTGGAGGAGGAGGAGGAGGAGGAGGAGGAGGAGGAGGAGGGACGGGAGGCGTAGCATTTGCAGGGAACACAGGAGGAGTTCTTCAAGCTCAAGAGCTACCAAACGGCAGGATAGCACCTGTAAATCAGCMAATGATGACAAGACCTAACATGCAGGAAATGATGCCTCTTAACGCCAACCCAACGACCAGAATGCTTGGAAGTAGTGTCAAGCTCTCGAATGGACCACTGATTGGAGATCAAGTCATGGAGGACCAAATGCCGGCCAACGTTGCTGCGATGCACGATTCTAATTCTAGGCCAATTTTTATGCCAAAAAATAATAATCTCGTTTTTGAAGAACAAGGTGAAAATTCAGCAAGGGAGATCAAAGCACAGTCATTTCCAACCGGGAATCAGTACTTTGCTAGAAATGCCATGAACCTTGGAGAAAATTACCAGGCGTCTCGTATACCAGAATCCAATCTTGCTGCGGCAAATGGAGGATTTGAAATTCAAGGCAATAAGTTTGCTTCGTTTGCTCCTGATTTCCAAACAATCCCACAAGAATTAATTCCATCGAGAAGAGACAATTTACCAGCCAATCGCAAACATCATAAATCTACTAAAATTAAAAAAGCACCAATGCGTTCAAAACATCTGCATACAAGATCAAACGACAAGAGCTTCAAAAAGGCAAAAAAATCGACAAAAAAATGTTGAACTGTTGAATTTTCAAAAGATTGCTAAACTCAAATAGGATTGTCAAGTATTGGAACTGATAAAGAAGCTTAGGATGTCTGGAGTGACGAAGTAGTGATATTGCATGCATGTTTATAGGGAGAGCTGAAAATATAGTATGCTCGCAAATTTCCTATTCTGATGCATGTGCCTTGTTCTCGTCCTGTTTTTTCGCCTACTAAACAAAACGAAACCTACACATTTCAATTTAAAAGAAGCGGTTCATCTTTATAATTGTATGATTGTTTCTTAGAAACTTAGCATCTTTAAAACAACCTATACAGACCAAAACCATTTCGATAGATCATCAAATCAAATGCAAATTTGAGCTTGATTTAAGACTTGAGTTATCATAGTTTTAATCCAAATATAATATCAGTAAACATTAAGAGATATATGTTAAAATTTACTGAATCCAACTGTGAGAAGTGTACCTCGATTTGTGCTATTAAATAATGCATTGGATATTCGAAGCTTATAGTGTGCAAAAAGGACAGAGAAAATTGTTTAATGGCCAAAACAGGACCGTGGTACTATCCATTTGGCCACGCCAATTACACTCTCCCCAGGAAAAACTAAGCGAATTCCCGAAAATAGACAGTTATGTTTCGATTTTGTTCCAGAGAAAGAGAAGAAACCAAGAAAAATCAGAGCTCAATTGGAATAGGCCTGAATATGTGGCCTTTTTCCTGATAAAAAATTAATATGACGCCCAATCTGGGGCTCGAACCCACGACCCTGGGATTAAAAGTCCCATGCTCTACCGACTGAGCTAACAAACTATGTACTTATTGACTGAGTGGGAGGGCCGTACGGGAAAATATTTGGCTCGAGGTTATGCCGTACGGACCGAGCGCAGCGATCATATGACAGCGTTTTTTAATGTTAAAAAAAAAAAATAAATAATAGCGCGCGGAACTTCAAGCCGGGAAAATACGGGTTTGTACGGACCTGTCGCGAAAAGGCGTACGGACCCCATCACGTGACCATTTTCCAAAGGTTTCAGTGAGAGCGCGCGTAGGGCCGAAATACGGGTCATATGATAATATGGCCTATGGCATCCTGATTGGCTACTGAACTATAATATAATACTGAATTATAATAAATAATTGAGGAAAGTGGGCTCAAAAGTGACATCTTTTTCTGTGGTTTTCACTCCGCATAGAGTCGTCACAACCTGAAA